TAGTAGGATGATACATAAAGTGCACAAAGTGCGTTCATTATCTCTTAATTACGCGAATTTAAATAATTAAAATTAGAATGATGGATAAGCATAATATAGATATTTGTAATAAACAACAAGGGAAAAAAGTGGCCAAGTTGCCAACTAGGCTTAAAATTGCAGAATTTTTGTTTATTTTTTTGTTCTGCGCATGCGTGTACGCGCAGCTTTACCAAGTCGGCGCGAAATCCTCAATTTCATTAACATCGCGCAAATACCAGAATCAGCTGCTAACAGAAAATCGAGTAGGAAAGCAACTACTCCTCCAACGAAAAACTTTCCTCTCGTTTCAGAAATCCTTAATAAACAAACCTCAGAAAGCGAGAAAGGTGTTCCGACAAGAGGGTGTGGCGGCGCGCCTGGCAACACTCGCTCCCACGTTCCCTCCGACGCCATCTAGGAAAAAGATGTCTGAGGAAGCGGACGGTCCGGACGCGATCAAGGCGGCTCCAGGAGAGTCAGGAAACGTAGATGGCGACAGTGAAGGAGGTTCGGGCCCGCCCATGGCCATGCGCGGCGGGCGAGGGGGTTTTAGGTAAGAATTAGAGCGTTCTGTTACGGGATAACGAGGGACGAACGAGCCGCTCTCGGGGCGGGGGTGGGAGAGGGGGCCCATCTTTTTGAGATTTTCGGATTCACTCCGTGGCTTATTTCGGATCTCTGGCCTTATTCCCTGGAGATGATGTATTGTGCGAGAGAGAAATAAGAGAACAGACAACAGTTACGTCACTTTGGCTTTCTCGAAGGAGAGATTCAAAACCACTCGTAGCATTGTTGGCATTACTTTTGCGTCACGAGCGGACCGGATTTACTAACGCTCAGAGGAGATCGAATTCGGCGTGTTGACATCGGCAGTCGGGCCAGGCGGCGTCTCGGGTGTTTTCCGAAGGGCTCGAGCCTCGGCAGCCCTTGCGAGAGGGGCTCGCGGCCGAGTGCAGGCGCCCTCGCGCAGCAAAACAAAGGCGCCGCAGCTCAGTTCGTCTGCATGGATGCCTTCAGAGGTGTGGATGATGTCCTCGCATTGATTTCCCAGGCGAAGGTCATGGGCTGGAGCAACGCGCGTAGGAGGCAGATTAACATTTGAGTGACACCAAGGCAGGTGGCCTTCGGCGAGTCGCGGAGGCCATGGCATCGCCTGCTGAGGGTCGTTGGCAAGGCTCTCGTGGGCCAGTTAGGCGTGAATCAGTCCAGGCACAGTATCAGGGGAAGACTTGAATGAGAATGGTAGTTTCCTTCAGTGTAACCATAACTTTTCGTGAGTAACAAAATTAACCATATATTTATTAATTGGGTGAAAGATGATAGTGAAGATATCAACTAAGATTGAAAATTGATAGGTTATCTTCATCTATTCTGAACAATTTGAAGATGTTTAGAAAGATCATTAGCTAGGTGCTGTATATTTTCTGGTCAGATATTGACCTGAATATCCTGATTGGTGGCTTGAAATTGTGGTTTTCAAGTGAATATAGAAATGGCAGTTTTCCTGGCAGATTTTTATGATCTCTCAAGGAAATTTACACTCCAGGCAGTAACTGTAAAATGATAACAATAAGCAGTATCGTATTTCAAGTTATTTTGCTTAATTTTTTTATTTGATTTTCTGTAACAGCCTGTACCACTGGTTAAAGTGAACAGGAATAGGTACCTGTGCATAGACTTGTTGTTGTCCTAGGAAATGCCCAATTCCAGCCATGGCTCATGGACGGCACAGGATACCCTGATGGAAATTCAGCAAGAGACTATGAATGATCCCCTTCCTGAAGGCCTGCCTGAGTCAGTCTCTCTCTGAGTGCTTTGTGCACTCTTTCTGAGACGTCCCAGGTACTAGCCACTTAGCAAAAATTTCCAAGGATGAGACGTTACTGATACATATCCCTCAGCTAAATTTTTTGGTAATTCTTTACTGGCCTGGACATACATGCTTGCCAGACGCAATGTCCCTTACTCCAAGTCACAAAATTTGTTCAACAGTCTAAGTTGCTGTGACTGTGCATCCCCTATTGGTACTGCCTGAGGGAGGGTAGATAGGGTCTCTGCCCCGATACCCCACGGAAACACTCTTCGCCTCAGTATGCACGTCAAGATAGAGCTGTAACTTGAGAGTACCGAGTGGACTTAGACTGAGCAGTGCTTTCCACAATCTTTTTCCTTTATTTGTGGTGGTGCCATTCTTGTATCAATGATTCCAATAATACTAATTTAAACACCAAACTTTCCTTTGCTTCTCTCTGTTGTCTGGATTGCTAGGTTTTTAGAAGTTTTGGTGGACACTTTGGGCACTTAGTGGGCTCAGATATGAAACTGGGATAATTACTGGTGTCATTCTTTTTCATTGCCACTGTTTAGTCTTTACCCATTTTTGATATTGGATCGGAGCTTGTGCTCTGATTCCGTCACAGGCCGCAGCCGGCGTGCAGACAGATTCCGGGCCACCCCACGCACTGATTTTGGAGCCGCCTGGAAGCTATTTTTTTCTGCTTCAAAATATACACGCGTTAGTGTGTTAAGAATATCCCAGAATCAACATTTCTCACTGACATTCTGTCAGGAAACAGTCATGAGCTTGTTTAACATTGCACTGGCAAAAATGTGCATGAAAATATTTATTAAGAAAAACTATAAGTAAATCTTAAGACATGTATAGAAAGTATAATAACATTAATAAAAGAATTGAACCCACTAACACTGGTATATTTTTAAGCTGAAAGTAATATTTGCTGGGCCGGCCCCGTGCGGCTTGCGACGTATTCTGAGCACGCGCTCCGATCCAACGTCACACTAGCGGGACACCCGTCAATGCTTAATTTTCTGGATGTCTTATATATGAGACATCCGTCGTAAATGGGTTAAAGGTAGAAATGTGGAACAGCAAATACTAATGATTAGCCAAATATCATTTTGACAATCCCATAGTAAGACATATTGACATACTTGGCAAATCGCAGTAATGAGTTACATGGTCAATGTAATATTTATTATCAAAATGTAAGCAAGATATGCAGCTTAGTCTCTGAGAAGTGATATGCAGTGTATTTCTTTTTTTTCTTCTTTTTTTTTTTAGTGGTAAATATGAGGCTGATGCAGGTGTACCTCTGTTGTTTAACTATTTTTTGTGCTCTGTGATGGGGATGTCCATTTCCCTCTATCTCTGTGTGCTGCTCTTGGTAACTTGTATGGAAATTATACTAAATGGGTATATTGGAAGTGGCTGTTGCATTATTTCCCTCCAGTAAATGAAGATGGAATGCACCATCCGTGAGCCATAGCTGGAAAGGTTCCTGCACTAGGGAGGACACTATTTATGTGCTCAGAAGCCTATTCCTTCTTGCCAAAACCAGTGACACAGAGTCTGTTACTGAAAATTGAATTACCTGAAAAAAACAAAAAACAAAACAAAACAAAGAACACAATGTCTATTGTTATTGTAGAGTCTATTACCATCTTGATAGAGAATATCAAAGGACAAACATAGACCTTGGTAAAGGGCAAGAAAGCTAAATATGCTTCTGCAGAAAGAGATAATATAAAAACATTGCAAATGGGAAGCAGAGTTGATATTGCCGATGACTGTTGCCTGGGTCTATTTGGCCATGTGCAGGCGTGTGGAGGTTCGTGATCCAAGGGATTAACTATTATTTACTTAATTCTTTGGGATTATTGCATATGATGCCTAACATGTTACTGAATAAGCTGACTTTACCATCGAATTAACCCACCCGCGCCGGGGTACATTTTGTAGCCAAAATTTAAAAAATCCGGGCAGCTACAAAATTGGCGGGCGGAGCTTCCCCGGAGTCTGTCCGCCCACCCGGCCGTGTGCCGCTTCTGCCGCGGAGCACGGCTCCGAGACAGCATCGCACTGGCGGGCAGCCCGACACTGTTTATTTTTTCCCTGTGTCTCATATATGTGACACCCGGGACGAATGGGTTAAAGAATATGTAAGGAAACTTTTTGCCAAAGCTTTACATCTTGTATAATAAGTCTACAATGTATACCTTCTTGTACCAAGAAAAGGAGACACTGCATAAGGAAAAGCAATACAAAATTTTTAGATTAGTTTTTAGTGTATGGTGTGTGCAAGGGTAATCAAATTAATTAGAATTGTACTGGATTATGACGAGATCATAAGTGCAATCATATGGTCTGATAAAGCCAAGTAGAATTGTAATAGGTAGTTTTCTGATGCATGCTAGGATGGCATGGCATACTGTACATGCAATGTCCACAGTGATTTTAGTTGTTCAGTTTTGTTGACACAGATAGCTCCACAAATGCATTATTATTGAATCAATTACTAGCCCTCCCTATCTCACTTGATTACCATTTTCCTTGATTTTCAGCGTTTATTATTAATATTTTTTTATTAACACTAGAATAATGATTATGTCGATGATAATAATATGATTACTAATAGCATTAATCCATTCACCCCATTGGTTTAAAAAGTGCGTGTTGCTTGTCTATGGGTCTCTCGCCAACAAGTGGTAAATTTGTTTGTGTCATCCTGAATGTGTCTTATCTAATACAGTTTCTGCCAATTCCCATTTTCTCTTCCCCATCACATGCACAAGAGACAGACAGACAGACAGACAGACAGACACAGACAGACAGACACAGACAGACACAGACAGACAGACACAGACAGACAGACACAGACAGAGAAAGTGAGAGACAGAAACAGGGTTCAACTATATGTATCCTGAAGTGTGCGTTAGATATGATTTATTGGGTCTTTGCCATATTCATTCCAGTCATCTTATTGGTAAAACATTGATTTATCTTTTTTGTTGCAGAGGAAGAGGGCGAGGGTTTGGACCCATGGGCCCGATGGGACCCATGGGGCCAATGGGACCGATGGGCCCAAGAGGACCTGGGGGGCCTGGTGGACCACCAGGCCCCGGTGGCCCTCGCTTCAGAGGCCGAGGAGGACCCGGCTTCCGACCCCCTCCCCCAGGGTTCAGGGGCCCCCCACCTTTTGGTCCCAGGGGACCGCGATTTGGCCCACGTGGACCCCCACCTCCATATGATCCCAACTGGGGGCCCATGCCACCCCCTCCACCTGGTATGGGGGGGCCAATGGGACCTCCTGGTATGGTAAGTCTGATTAAATTTTCTGTGGTTTTCTTGTGCCCTTTCTTTTTTTTTTTTTTTTTTTTCTCTCTCTCTCTCTCTCTCTGTCTCTGTCTCTTGTGCTCTGTGTGACATTATCTAAGAATTACAGCTAGTCTGTATCTTTTCTTTGTGATCCATGTTAATTAAGAGGTATTTTGTCTGAAACAAGAATGCTCCATTTTCACTTTGTAGATAATCATTGAATTGTGATATGGCACTGAAGAAATTTTATCATAAAGATTTGTTTAAGATATAACTGATATGATTTAATTATACTCATCAAAAATTGAATGAAATTTGATAAGTATTGATGGAAATCACCCAAGAATGTGCACAGCCACTGAATGCAGTTTGAATCCCAAAAGAATGTCAGAGGTTTTGATGTCGCAGCTGAATGTGACCAAAATTTTCTCAGGTCTCCTGTTTTGGATGAGAGTAAGATTTAATGAATGAATAAGAAATGGACAGACAGATGGAGAAAGAGGGAGAGTGAATGAATGGGATAGACAAAGAGAGAGAGAGAGAATGAATGAATAAAACAATGAGAAAGATGAAGAATGTCATAGAAGGTTGCTGAAGGTAGAATTTAGGGACAGGTCTAAGGATGGTGTGTTTCTGTGATATAAAAGCCTGTGTTTTTTTCAAAGCTCCGGTTTGTTGTGTGATAGTGCTCTAGGGGGTGACTCATCAAAGCTTATCATATTGACTTCAGTTGTTGACTCAGTTCATTAGGTCATATATACCAGATAATAAGTTTTGACCAAAAACTTGGCTCTGGTCATCACCTTGAAGATCAAAGAACAGCATACCTCTTAGTGTTTTTTTGTGTGTTTTATGGTATGTGGGAGCAGTTTGAAGGTGATGCTTTTTGTTTTTCCCCTCATACAATCTTCTAGAAAAAAGAAACAAAACACTGGAGATGAAAATGTAAGTCCTTTCTTTGTGTGTGTATTTTTTTTTTCACAACACCTGTGTCTTTCTCCTCTCACCCAGCCTCCCATGGGGCCAATGGGTCCGATGGGCCCCATGGGGCCACCCGGACCCTGGGGACCAATGGGGCCACCAGGTCCTGGGGGACCACCCAGCCAGCAGCCCAACCAAAATGTAAGTTGCACTCGGAAGGCAGGATCCTGGGTATTTAAAAAGATTGCCCAGAAATATTTTGTTTTTGTGTCTGTAGATTTTTTTTCTCAGTGTCTGGATTAACCTTAGTTTGGGCTTGTTTTTGGAGGGAGCCCTTTTTTTTTCTTATGTGTGTCCCCTTGGTGGTTGTTACTTTTCTTTTCTTTCGTTTTTATTATGTTGTTTTTGAAAAAAATAAGTTTTAAATATTTTTTGGGGGGTTGAGATTTTCACTGGTCTTTGTTGAAAGCTTCAAAAATATTATTTATAAAATCCATTTATTTCATTGCCATATTCAAGTAGATGCAACTTAAGTTTTTGTTAATTTTTATTTTTTGGTTAAATTTGTTAGACAAGTTTAACAAATGAAATACATACGATATTGCAAAATTGTTTAATGAATATATGCTTACTTTCTATCTCCCACAGCAACAGAATTCCTTTGGTGGAATGGACCTAAGTGGAGAGATCTGGGTTGAGACCAAGACAGGTGAGGGCAAATCCTATTACTACAATGCACGCACGAGAGAAACCACATGGACCAAGCCAGAGGGTGAAGGGGTCAAGATTCTCACACAGCAAGAGGTTTGTTTTCTGGGTCTCCTTTTTTTGTTTGTATCAATTTTTTTTTTTTTTGTGTGTGTGTGTGTTGTAAGAAATGTTATGTCATGGAATAAGATGTTAGGATTTTTCTTTTTAATTGTCTTTAGTATGATTATTTTCATTGCATTAATTATTTGTATTGAAGTATGGAAAAGGTTTAGAGTAGATACCTTTGTTAAAACTTTATTAAGTTATTTGGGTTGTATTCCCCATTTTAATGAATGACTAATAGCATACATAATCTTTTAATGAACAGGTTGAAGCTATGGCTCAGGCAGCAGGAGTGACACCGGGCAGCCAGGGGGGAAATAACAGTGGGCCACCAAACTCAGGTGCAGGAGCTAATTCAGGCAACAGCAGTGGCAATCAGCAGGGTCCAGGTGGTGGAAGCGGGGGCAACAGCAGCAGCAATGGGCCCTCAAACCAAGAGAACGGGGACGATGATGGTGACGACAGTGAGAGTGGGCCAGGAGGCTGGCAGGGGCCCCAGGGACAGTGGGGGCCTCCTGGTGGGGGCATGGGTCCTCCACCTGGTGGCCCACCCTTTGGGATGCCACCAGGTGGCCCCTACCCAGGCCCAGGGGGACCGCCTCCCTATGGCATGCCTCCAGGACCTCCAG